CAATGTGGTCAGGCCCTTTGCTGATAAGCACTTAACATACATAATCATATTACTCTATATCATATCTGAAAACAGCAATTAGCTCTCATTATTAGCTTCGCAACACAAAGTGGCAAATCTAACATTGCGCCAAATGTATAGGAGTTGCCATATGTAGTGAAGAATGGTAGGAAAGACGGTATTTAATTAATTTTGCCCTTTACTTTTCGACCAGGCAATTTAGTCTGTGGTTGAAGCTGATCCATTTTTCAAGGCATGTGATGTCCATGATGTGATATCCATAGGAATGGGTCTACACGCTCGCGCACACACAGAGTTGACGCCACAATGGAATATCCCTTGCAGTATGCAGACAAGCCACAGGCCTATTTTCAACTTCACCTCACTCGACATATTGAAGAGAAATGTTTGTTTCAATAGAATTGAACGCTAATAGATTTCCATACATGTATATTATTAGTTGACAGATTTAAACTAGAGAATGTGATCGCTAGCAGCAAGGGTGGCCGAATCACCGTAGGTTTGTTTGCTTGGAAGCAAGTGAGTGGTGTTAGGGAATTGACGGCCAGTGCCGATTTCCTGGCAGCAGATATGTTGAAATCCTTGAGGTTTTCCTACCAACAGTTAAAGCTATGGTGTTTCCAGCAACAGACCATTCTATCTTATTCAGGACAACAGACCCATCCATAGCAGCCGTGTTGTCAAGGATTGGTTTCGTGAACACCATGTGCTGTGTGGTGCAGCGGTAGCGTTCTCGTCTAGCAATCTTGCTGACCTGCGTTCGAATCCCTCGCCACCAGTGGATGGTAACCCCGGCCATTCCTTGCACACAGGGGATAATTTAGAAGCAAAATAAAACAGACAGTATGTCACACCAAGAATATCCATTGTAACAAATGGAATCGAACTAAATTATAATCATAATTATAATTAATCATAATTATAATTACATCATGCTGCTGCCACATCCACACAGATCTTCGGATCTAAACCCAGTTAGGCGAGTTAGTATCGAGTATGTTTCAGCAGCAAGGAATTGAAAATCAGAATATTAAACCTGGATATATTGCCGGAATCTTTTTTCTTTGTTTTGATCTTATTGGAATTTGTCAATAGTCATTAATTAATATAATGGCAATCGTCTGGCAATACACTCTTCTCCCTTCACGACGATTGAACAGATTAAAAAAAAAATGTATAAGAAAGCTAACTGATTATCAAGTATTATAACATATAATAAATAACTTACGAATTTATAGCCTTTTAATTCGTGATATGACACATACCCAAAAGTAGTGGGAAAACCAGGGGTACCAATAGTTTCCTAGCATCAACTATATTTCAGAAAAGTAACATTGTTTGTATCAGAATGTTTAGCATTATTTTCTAACGATAGTTTTCTGTGTAGCTGTAGAAGATAACCAAAAATATGTTTGGGTTTAAAATGATAGATGCTATAATTCTTACTTCTATAAATGGCAACGAAACGTTTATATACCTTGCGTTCATGTACTGTCTAGTATAAGATATATATGCATAAGAAGGAAGATATACTTACAGTACCAAAACTCGACTTTTAACTAGATTTTTCGCGATATTTGAGAGCACTTTGTATAATAGAAATATGCCAAGATTCCTTCAAATGGCCACATCGACACTAAAAGATGAACTTACTTCTTCCTCACACTGATCCTCGTCGCTGCTATCCGGACAGTCGTTGTCAGAATCACACTTCCAGGCCATGGGGATGCAAGTGCCATCGCTTTTGCAAGTAAACTGATCCTCTCCGCAGGTAATCTGGAAAACAAATTATTGTCAATAAGTTAATAGTTCTTAAATACACACACATACATATGTCTGTGTGTGTGTGCGTGTGTGAAAAGACAGAGAAATATATATGTGTTGGTGTGTGTGTGATTATATATATATATATATATATATATATATATATATATATATATATATATATATATATACATATACATATACATATACATATACATATATATATACATCATATATATACATATATATATATATGTACATATATATATATATATATATATATATATATATATATATATATATATCCTATACAATTGAAAGAGAAGACCTGTTGGATTTTGAACAATTCTAATTGCAGGATCTTATCAAAAGCTTTTTGACAGCATATGAAAACCAGGTAGATATTTTGCTGGTGTTGGATGGCTCTTTCGGCAAGTATTCTCATGATGAAGATAGCATTTCTCGCACCTTTATCCTTCAGAAACTCAAATTGGGTCTCTGGTAATTCGAATAGTTGTCTTCTGATCCTCTGTAGGATGATTTCAGCAGATGTTTAGGAATAGGTGACATAAGACTATTTGTACGATGAAGGACCTTCGATAGTGCAATGAATACTAATTTCATCATTTCTCTAGGTAATTTGCCTGTTCCATAGATATCTTTTAGAAAGTTCCAGATGTGATCAATACCGTTTTCTCCTAAGACCCTGAGAACTTCAGTTTATACACCGTCAGGGACTGCAGCTGTAGGGACCAACGCACTTCTGACTACAGAATTGGTGAACCAAATGTATTAACTTCCAGGATTAGATCTTCAGGCTCTTGTTCATCATCAAAAAGTTGTTGAACATACTCTTCCCAACAAGCACTGACATCCTCGGTCTTTTGGAGAATGCGGCCGTCTGCTACTTTGATGCAATTTGAGGAGGAAAAGGATAAGATTCTTTACTCTATTACATTTCTCCTGCAGCCACTTTTCCTGGGCTTTCTTACATTCCTCTTTGTAAAGATTGAGTACCAGTTCATATTGCACAGGGTTCTGAATTTTCGTTTTTCGTTGCAGGTCTTTGAGCTATGGATGGAACTAGCTTGATAAGAGCTTCTTCTTTTCTACTGTCGGGATCGTCTTAGTAGTTGCTGCTTGGATGTTATCAATGACAGCACCAAAACGATGGTCAGTGTTATTGTTAGAAGCCTCTGGGAGATTTTTTTAGGAATCTTGTTTAAAGGTTTCTAACACCTCGTGGTTGGTCTATAATGCCCTGTGTTTAAATTTGCAAATATGCTTGGGATTTGTTTTATTACGTTCCGGTATCTGGGATGATCATAGCATAGTCAGTTTGGTGTCTGGCTTTATTACCAGGACTAATTCATACCAGGACTAAGTCATTCATTCTCATAGAAAATATTGTCCAGTTTTCCTTCTTTGGTTTAAACTTCGGATGTTCCATGTTTCGGTCTTGGATAGTTATGATCTAAATCTTTTGGCCGATATGATCTTTACGTTTGTTGGTTTATCTGCAGTCGCAGCATCCCTGTAGTTGAATGCAGCTACCGGGCGCGGATCCTACAAGACAACCTTGTGAGGCTCCGTTTAAGCCGTTTGCTAGTTTTCATGTTTTCGACTTGACATCATGTAGTTGGCGGGGTCCTTATACAATCCCGTAGTCCTTCTTCGGGGGAAGGATCATATTTATATACATGTGTATGTATGTGTGTGTGTGTGTGTGTGTGTGTGTGTGTGTGTGTGTGTGTGTGTGTGTGTGTGTGTGTGTGTGTGTGTGTGTGTGTGTGTGTGTACGTACACACACACACAAATATATATATATATATACAGACAGACAGATAAATTGATGGTATGACAGATAATAGATAGAGAGAGAGACATAGGTAAAAAGGTAAAATTAGTATATATACACATTCATTTCATAAATATCACTCGTTCTTTATACCCTACAACTTTGACGTTACAGTTTCACATCAATGACAGTCAAATACAATACTTTACCTTATCACAGCCCTCTTCATCACTGCCATCACCACAATCATCATCTGTATCACACCGAAATGATGATAAAATGCACTTGTCTACTGTTGCACATCTGAACTCATCTTCGTCACATTCAATCTGTTGGGTACGGAGTATTTATTTTCATTTACCACTATCTTACTTCACAAGATTCATGTCTTGTGGTATATCGTTTATGTATATTATTCGGTACATATATTCTGCAATGTATTCTAATTACAGAGTCAACAGTAACCGTAAGAAATAAGTGTTCTAGATATTACATTACCTTATCACAGCCCTGTTCATCACTGCCATCTTCACAGTCTTCATCAGAATCACACCGATATGATGCATTAATGCAGCTACCACTTGTTACACATTTGAACTCATCTTCGTCACATTCAATCTGTGGGACAGGTAAGTCTGATCATCTTTTTGACACCATTTTTCAATTCTATCGCATACCTTTACTATGTTGTTGTTTTTTTGTGATACTTAAACTTTAGAAAGGTATTTGAAATGGTGTCTCATAGTAGACTCATATGGAAATTAGTAAACCTAGGAGACTTTCTTCATGAAACAGATGAGCGTCGTAAGCACTCTACGTGGTGACATGTAACTAGCGGAGTACCTCAAGGATTAGTCTTGGCGCATATTATGTTTACGATTTTCATCACTGATTCAGGACAAACATAACTCCAGTTATTTATCTGAATATGTTTGCAGACGACGCGACATTATAAAAAAAAAGAGAATAATAGACGACGTCTCACTCCAAAGCGACATCGAGAATTTATTCTTGTGGAACTGTACTTGGAAAATGGAATTCAATAAATCAATAAATCCCTTGTGGTTAGTTCGGAGAAAGTAAAAATCATCCACTATACTAATACATATTAGGAGAGGCAGTATTAAACCCAGCAGATCATAGACAGGAACCTAAGTCCAAATGGTCATATAAAGGAAAAGCTTCATAAAATGCTACAAGATGGGCACCTACTCTAAGAGATATGAGCTACGAAGATAGACTACATAAAATAGGACTTACTACTTTGGAAGAAAGAAGGAAAAGGGGTGACATGATTATAATGTTCAACTATATTACATAAAGAGTGAAGTTAAACAAAGAGGACTTTACAAATTTTAACACAAGAAGGACGAGGTGAGGATATAGTAAAAAATAAATAAATAAAATAAAGGAAAAA